AGCCTCTGAGGTCAAGGAATTGGAGATTCAGGATCACAGCCAACCTATTTCCTCTTCATCCACAGTGACAGGTGAGGACACGGGATGATGGAAAGGTTGGCTTTTCTTAGATCCCATGCCTAGTAGCCCTCAGGTGCTCTGAGAGTTCAGAGCAGGTGCTAGAGCCCGAGTTTTTCCCTGTTTGTCTTTGCTATATAATCACTCTAAAAATCAAAAAGAGCACTAGACTGCTTTCAAAGAGGCCTCACTCCTCGGGTAAACAATCACATCTCAAAGTGTATTCATGCTGGGAGGCCACGCGCAAGGTCAGGAGCTATGCTTCCTCTTACAGGGTCCTATAAGCAAGGACCTGCAAGGCCATTGATTGGCAGGTCTCTAATAACAGCTGAGGAACTTGAAATATTTGGATCCCAGATTACTTTGCCGCAATGTGGCTTACTAAAAAAGAAAAAAAAAAATGTGAGACCTACTTCTATAGGACATGACATATCATTAGATGTTAGAAAATCTTCACCAACACTCTCTTGGTCTACCTTGCAGAACATTCAGACTGTCAATTGCTTCAACTCATTCTGCACAAAGAACAGCATTAGTGCATCAGGAACAACAGTATAGGATGCATGGTGTCATTGGTCACATGCCCTGGGGAACAGACTCTGAGACGGAGGTTTGCTTGCATGATGTTTAGTGGGGAGTATTCATGGGAACACCCATGAGGGATGGAGGGGAGCCAGAGAGGGCAGAGGGAGGATCAAACCATGGTGTAGGGGCAACAGAAGCCTCCGCCATGGATCCCACAGGAAGTCTTGAGGTGGGTGGCCCCTCAGATACGTTCCAAGTTTAAGCAAGGGGGCTGGCCCTTTATGTGCAGCATCACTCAGTCCTTAGACACACGCTGACTCCAGCCTGACTTTAGGAGAGGCAGCTTCCCTCAGTCCTTGAGGGGCAACGTGAGAGAGGAACTCGGCTGTGAGCCATCAGCCAGCAAGGCTCCAGGCAGGAGCAAGTGTCTCGGTCTTCAAGGGAGAGTCTCGGCAGTGCATCCCAGCATGTACGACCAATGCTTCCTTCGAGAATACAAACGGGTGGCCCATTTTCACAGCCACCTTTTTGCAGACTGGCATCACATCTTTGTCTCTATCTACTCTACTAGTTGCCCCAATGCTCTTTGCAAATGGTAGGTCGGCTTTAATAAATATCAGGATCAGATTTGTCTGAAATAAAACCCGCCCTATTGCTGGCATATTGTTATATTAAAATTTCAGACTCTGTATGACACTATAATGATGGATACACCTCATTGACCATTTGTTGATCATAGAATGTACAACGCCAAGAGTGAGTTTTAATGTCAGGTGATTATGATGTGTCAATGTAGGCTCATCATTTGTCACAAATGTACCGCTCTGGCTGGGGATGTTGATGATGGGAGAGGCTGTGCATGTGTGGAGACCAGGATGAATACGGGAAATCTCTGTACCTTCCTCCCAATTTTGCTATGAACTTAAAACTGCTCTAAAAGAATTGTCTTTTTTTTTAATCTCTGGCCCCATGTATATTAGTTTGCTAGGAGTGGCGTAACAAAATATCACAGACTAGGTGGCTTAAACAGCAGAACTTTATTTTCTCGATACTCTGGGGACTAGAAGTCTGAGATCAAGATGTTGCTGGGCCAGTTTCGTCTGAGGCCTCTCTCCCTGACTTGCAGTGGCCACCTTCTCTCTGCATCCCCACATGGTCTTCCCTCTGTACTTATCAGTGTCCTGAGATTTTCTTCTTATAGGGACACCGGTCATGTTGGTTTGGGCCCACCTTTATGACCTCATTTTAACATAATCACCTCTAAAAAGGCCTTGTCTCCAAGTACAGTCACATACTGAGAAATTGGGGGTTAGGACTTCAACATAGGAATTTTTAGGGGACACAACTGGCCCATAACAGCCTGTGGGAAGGGCTCATGCTTTCACTACCATTTTGTAGACAGAGAAACTGAGCCCAGGATGTCGATGGCTCTGTGCACAGCTCATGTTACCCATCTCAATGGTTTGTCTTCTTAACTGTAATGGGAGTGTCCAGTCGTCTCTCCCCAAGGAACCCTCTGTACATTCATTAGTTGTAGCACAGCAGAGCCCTTACCACTGATCTTCCACGAAGCTTGCTTTGAATTGTGGAATTAAGTGACTAAGTTGTTCAAGAATGGAATTTATCTTCTCCATTACTCTGGGAATTATTGTTATCCCATACACAGTCCTTCGCTCTCTTGCACCAGACTCCAGATCCAGTTTTAATTGTCATTCCTGAGGCAGATCACTCGCTCTCAAACCCTGTCCCCATTCCTATCCTGTGACCAGGCCAACCCATGAGAAGGACATATGAAGCCCTCCTCCGGCTATTGCTCTTGAGCACTAGGACTTGAAAGTCCTAGTATGTAAGCCCTCGATTCCCCTCTCCAGTCCCCACCCCTGCCCCGCCTGCCACACAGAGCCAAAAACACCTTCAGAGGAAAGCAGAGTACTCACACTCCCATCCCCAGACAAACAGAGGGATAGGGAAGGGGAGCTAACTTTTCTCAAGTGTCTCCCATCTGTTAGACATGGAGGAAGGTGCTTTTATAGACATCACCTTCTGTACTCTGGACCGGACCATAAGATGTGGTGTAGATTGCCCCGATTTCATGGGTGAGCATTTTATGGAGACCCCTAGAGGCTAAATTGCCTGCCCAAGTCACCCCGTAGAATGTAGAAAAGACAGAATTAAAACACACATCTGACTGTTCAAAACCTGTCTTCTTTCCACTGGCCCACCCTGCGTATGCATGAGGGGTATTACAGAGCCAAGCCCCCAAAATCCCCAGGCCCAAAGGCTGAGATGTTTACAGTCCTTACTCCTGAATGTCAGAGCCCATTCCTGTGTCTGAACCAAAGTTCTATCCACTGTCTTAAAATGTCTTGTGCACCTTGATGGTCTCCTGCTTACTGAGTTTCAACATTCTTCATGTGTTTTATCAGCTAAAATCTTTCCTCTGCTGGTCCTCAGGTCCTGCGCTGAGTGAGGGCTCTTTGATCTTAGCAGGCACCCTCCCAGGGGAAGTTGAGGGATATAAGTTCCATTCTCTGCTTGCCTCTTTCAGTGGTTCTACTCCTTGACTGTGTCCCAGGGATCCTGCATCTCTCTGGAAACCAAGTCCCCACTCCCAGAGCAGATTTTTACCTTTTGAAGAGCTGGGATGGCAAAGTGGACACCAAATAAAAGCCACCCCTTCTGTTTGTCATGCAAACTTCCAGCCACACCTCTAAATGGAATAAATGGGATTTGGGAAGTTGGAAAGAGATGATAAAATATCACCTGGCCACATAATGCAGTTGAAAAGTGGATTTCTCTGGGCACTGGGTGACCCAGTTGGTTAAGTGTCCAACACTTGATTTTGGCTCAGATCATGATCTCAGGGTTGTGAGACTGAGCCCAATATCAGGCTCTGCTCTCCTTCTGCCCAGTACCCACCCCTCCTTCCCTCTCTAAGACAACAACAACAACAAAAAAAAAAAAAAAAGAGTAGAAAAAAAATGATTTCTCAATGGGAGTAGAACCATTGAGTCACTGAGTTGTGTTCAGAGATGAGAATTACCAGAAGGGAAAAATTCCTAGGAGAAAGTTTGTCTTTAAGCTGAGCTGCTCAGGGCTGATATTGCTGCCTAAGATTCATGCCTGGATGTACCTAATGCCATTTTTCCCATAAGTTCTGCAGGTTTTATTACCTGTTTGCATAGTGTGATGGTTTTTAAAAATGCTTGTGTTCTCTTACTGCAGAACTGACTACTCAGCATGATAGTTCCCCTAATATGCACTAAAAAGATGAAGAGCTTGGGAAAATACGGAAAAGAAAAGAGACTCAATGCTATTATCATAGGAAATTATTAATTTGACCTTGATACAATACCAAGTAAATCTACCAAACTAAAGGCAATTATTTGGCTTGGAATTACATGATGCTCTGGAATTTCTAAATCTCAGGGGGTTGAGAGAAGTAAAACTTGTTTTCATAACTCCTTTGGCTAGAGTCAAAAAGGAAATAGGGGCCAATAAATTAATGCTCAGGAAATTTTTACAAATATAGAAGTTAGATTCATATCCCTCAATATAAATAATTTATTTTTATTTTATGAAAGGGGTACTATGTCAAGTTGACTCAAAATTTTCATCACTAAAATAATCACTATTTGATTTGAAACCAATCTTTATCTTGTTTCTAAACTACCAACACTAAAGGTTCTGAAAGCAGGCCTGCAAAGAGGTACTTGTGTGCATGTGTTATGAAAAAGGGGTGACTGGCCTTTATAACTTCTGCTTTGATCAAACTGCCCCCCCCACACACACACATGGCCATTTTCAGCCCTACTGACTGGCTGGCTGTTTAAAACCAAACTGGCAATAGAAATTTCACTGAGCATGCCCGAAAGTAGTGCTGTTTGCCAAATATTTCCAGGTCCTCACCTTATAGTACATGGTAGGATTATATTCCTGGGCCTCCTGTGTGTCTGGCCAATGGGTTGAGGTAGATTGATAAAAGGGTTGTACCCAAGAATGTTGTGGTACTAATGGGGCCATCCACCTTGAATGAACTCACACATGAGCAAATTGTGAAAAGTAAATGTTTTTATTTTTATTTCTAAGATTTTTTTTTATGTATAGCAGTTTAAACACCCACAGATACACATACACACACATACACACACATCATCATCATCATCATCATCATAATACCTACAAGAATATTTTTAAGTTTCACAAATGAGGAACCTAAAGTCCTAGGAGCTAAATTATTTTACTTGAGGTCTAAAATAGACTAAAATCAGAAACACATTTAAAAGTCTTCTTAATTTAATTCTGTTCCCTATTTTTAGGAAACCTACCATGACTTAACTGTCTCCAAAGTAGATTCGGTGTTTCTGCTGCCACCCCACCCTCCACCCCCATGCCAGCCCCTACCCCTAACACTGGATCTAACTCCTGTCCCCCAAAGCAAGCAGGATCCATGCACAGTGACAATGGCTGGGTTTATGGAGCCACAGAGCAGGCCTTGCGTGTGAAAGCGGACCTCGTCCAGGAGAGCCCCAACAGCTCCAGGCTTGTCCAGGAGCTCAGAAAATGGCTTGCTGTCTTAATCTTGCCAAGGGTGACCAAGAAGCCAGGCTCCTGAAAGTCATGGGCCAGTCAAAGAGTCAGTGGTTCTAGCTCCTTCAAGCCCAGTCACCAAACGTCATGCTTACTTTTCCCTCAGCAAGCATTTTCACCCCTGAAAGCTTAGGTGTCACTCCTGGCCAGAAGAGAAAGTCTTCCAGGGAAGCTCGATTGTCCCTCATTCCAGCCTCCCTCTCCCAGAGCTTCACTCTCAGTCCAGGACACGGAATGCCCATGAGGAATGGAGCAGCCTAGGCAAAATGGTTGGAACACACGTTAACAGGAAGAACAGTTGGCATTTACTGATAATTTAATTTGAACCAGGCATTATTTTATGAGTTCTGAATATGTTAGCTCATTGAATCCTGAAACCATCCTGGGAGGTATGTACGATTATTAGCCCCATTTCACAGATGAAGAAACAGAGGCACAGAGGCATTGAGCGATCTCCTCAAAGTCACACAACTAGGAAGGCTATTCTCCCAGCTTCCTTTTTCTGTGCCCTCCACCTTCTCCATGCTGCTCCCTCAGCCCTAAACTCGATGCTCAGAGCCCTCTCTCCCTCTTCCGCTGCCTAAGCTTGGCCTCTAGAATGACTGCTCCTCTGAACCTACAACCTTACATAGAAAACCGTGTTGCTTCTCTTGGGGCATTTGCTCAGCCAGTCTCATGTCTCACTGTGGAATGAAGAGTTCTGCATCCTTGGAGGTGAGTTCAGGCATAAACAAATATGTGGAAGAGATTTTACAGGAACTGAAGAGACTTGCTGGTGACACTGGAATAACCCTGGGGAAAACAGGGGGTTTGCCTCAGAGTAAAGGCCTGCCCTTCATATGAACAGCAGAGGGCGCTGTGCAGCTGTGACTTCATAATAAGCATGCCCTCTCTCTCCCTCCCTCCTCTGTCTCCAGAATGGGATTCCCCCAATTAGAATCTATACCTGAAGAAAACTGCTGGGTTTTCATATCTCTGCAGTCCTTCCGTGATCTCAAGACCTCCTGACAAACCTTTCCAAACCTTGTTTCTAAGAGCGATCAAACCTCAGGTCACTGGGACATGAGCAGCTTCCACCCATGCTCAGGGTCTCAAGTCTCTGCAAGTCCAATTCTGAACTCTGGCCCCCTGTCTCACAAATGGAATTCTGCCTATCTCCTCAGACCCCATCAGTCTTCAGTTCTGTGCTCTGATTTAAGGTCTGAAATACTGCCTTTTCCTTGTGGGTTAGCCCTGCCTTGAGCTACCAAACACCCCATGTTGCTGAGCTGTAATTCTGATCTTGACCCATGGCTGGAGCCCTTCTCTCTCTGCTGAAAGACCTCCCTGGCGCTGCCAGGTCTCCATTCACTTAGAGTGAATTTCCTATCCCTGATATCTAACTTGTAGCCCCCCTAACATGGTCTACCCTGGTGTCAGCTGCTGTTCCTGATACTTCTGGTACCACGTGCATCCAGATGTAAAAAGCATAGCTCCAATTACTGAGAAAATTCAACAGGCACAGGGCCACCTATGAAGGATACGCTGAAAAAAATGCAACCCTCAGTTCATCCCCCACCTCACAGGTTCAAAAATAGAAGTTCAAGAATCACCTGGTGAGGATTTCTTTGAGTAGTTGTTAGTACACTCCCACCTCCTTCCTACACTTTCCCCAAGTGCCTGTCGAAGCTTTGTGCACCTCCCCAATCACAGGAAGGAGTGCAGTACAGATCCTGGGTTCTACAGGTCTTCTCCAGTTTTTACTACAGCCACCCAGGTATGCCCAAATAGCTGGAGGTTAGACTCCAACCATGCCTCTCTTCTCTAGAATGGCTAGATTTAGTATCCCCAGGAGGCAGAGTCTCCTCCACCTGAAACAGTCTGACGAATTTCCTAAAGCAGGTCAAACTGGGACCTTAATGGAAAGGTCAGCTTTCACAGGTCATCTGAATTACCTCTTGATGAGTGACTCATCAAGAGATGTTATAGTGATATTCCACTATGGACTAGAAGATGGGCAGAGGTGGGAGAGTTAACCCTTTTAAAGGACTACGATATCCCTCCTCCCCCCTTTTAAAGTTCTAATATAAGAACCCAAATGTGAGAGGATGATTAATTGAGGATAATATGCTGGTGTTTTCCCAGCACCCCACACATGCCAGTCAGTGTGTATGACAAAGCCCTCTTCCTTTCCCTCCCTTGCCCCGGGACCATGAACCAATGTCCCACAGCAGCACAACATGAGGTTTGTAGGATCTGTATCTAACACAGCGGGTCCCCCAAAAGTTCTACCAACTCAGAATGTCTTTGAGTCCACGAGATTCTTTCAACTCTCTGCTTTGCCCATTGTTTGCTATTCGGCCCTGACTCTGAGACTCATCTATATCATGTACAAAGGCCGAGAAAACTCTCCAAGACAAAACCATACTAAAATTGATCACCCCTGCCCACATCTCCCTACTACCTCTCAGGCTCCCGGCTGCCATTTTGTTACTAATCTCCCCTTCACAGATGCTTAAAACTTGTCTTCTCCTAATTTCATCTGTGTAGAAATATGTCTCAGAGTTTGGCTGTTAGGCAGCTAACTCGCTACAATTCTACCCACAGCCCCTTAGGGATGATTCTGGGCTCCAACTTCATTATGGAGAGACAGGCTTGTTGCTTTGTGATTTCAATCAATTAAGTCTTCCTTCTCAACAATGAGTCTATTTTAAGTGTCACCGCTCACTGACAAGATGGAATTAGGGTGTGTAAGTGCTATAGACAGTAAGGGTGTATCCTCTATCAGTGGAGATGTGATGACATCATCCTCTCACTGAGGAAAGAAACATATGCTTAAGATTTGGTCATATAAGAATAAAAAATACTGGGCGTCTGGGTGGCTCAGTTGGTTAAGCGACTGCCTTCGGCTCAGGTCATGATCCTGGAGTCCCGGGATCGAGTCCCACATCGGGCTCCCTGCTCAGCAGGGAGTCTGCTTCTCCCTCTGACCCTCCCCCCCTCATGCTCTCTCTCTATCTCATTCTCTCTCTCAAATAAATAAATAAAATCTTTGAAAAAAAAATACTAACTCAAAGGGATATATGGCACCCCGATGTTTATAGCAGCATTATATACAGTAGCCAAATTATGGAAACAGCTCAAGTGTCCACTGATGGACGAATGGATAAAAAAGAAGTGATATATATATATATATAACTCAGTCATAAAAAAGAATGAAATTTTGCCATTTTCAATGACATGGATGGAGCTAGAGGGTATTATGCTAAGTGAATAAGTCAGTCAGAGAAAGACAAATACCATATGATTTCACTCATATGTGGAATTTAAGAAACAAAACAAATGAGCAAAGGGGGATAAAAGAGAGAGGGAGGCAAACCAAGAAGCAGACTTTTAACTATAGAGAACCAACTGATGGTGACCAGAGGGAGGTGGGCAGGGGGATGGGTGACATAGGTGATGGGGATGAAGGAGTGCACCTGTGATGAGCACCGGGTGATGTGTGGAAGTGTTGAATCACTATATTGTACCTGAGACTAATATTACATTGTATGTTAACTAACTGGAATTTAAATAAAAGTGTTTTTAAAAAGATTTGGACATACACACTGAGATGACATAGTTTTAAAGATGTGCATATTTTCATTTATGCGCTGGGCAATGAAGAAGTTTCTAATCTCTGAAAGATATACCCACCTGTTCCCTCCCCACCTCACTCCTGCGTCACATCATAGGTACTACTGTGCTCACAAGGGGCATTAAGGGGTTTGTCACAACTTGAAAGCAAAGATTCTCCTTCAGTTTTTAATACTCACACCTCATCTTCAACGATTCATTAATTTAGATCCATTGGTTGGGCTTAAAGATGCGTTCTAAATGGAAAAAAAAAAAGTAACAGTGATGTCAGTAAGTAATGGCATTGACAAAAAATGCATTTATATTTATGTATACAGCTGCCCAGAGATAAACACGTAAAAATGGGAACATGAAAAGAAGCATTTGAAATGACATAGCTACACAGAATTAAATTATATTTCATTGAACCTAACATTGTTAGCTGCATCATTATTTTTTTTTAAAGATTGATTTATTTATTTATTTGACAGAGAGACACAGCGAGAGAGGGAACACAAGCAGGGGGAGTGGGAGAGGGAGAAGCAGGCTCCCCGCCGAGCAGGGAGCCCGACGCGGGGCTCGATCCCAGGACCCTGGGATCATGACCTGAGCCGAAGGTAGAAGCTTAACGACTGAGCCACCCAGGCGCCCCTGCATCATTATTTTTATGTTCCACTAAGAAAAAGAAAGAAAAAACTTGCCAATTAAATCATGACATGCCACTGATTGTAAGATACATTCCTATTTCAGAAATGTTAAAAGGTAAAGAAAATACCTATCTTAGCATTGATGAACTAGGGTACCAAAAGTCACGCCCAATACTAGCTAACCATAAATGCTGACTCTCAATATGTTCAGAAAATGTTTTGTTTGTTGACTTTTAAGAAAGTAGTTTTTATTGAGAAACTGTTGGTGGACTAAATGACTGCATTAATATGGCAATGATGGCAATTTCAGTCAGTACCTTAAAAGACGGATAGCTTGGTCAAAGTCATCTTCAAGATCAATAAGTATACAAATACTTCAATCCAAGAACAGGGTTTACTCAAAAGAGTTCTGAGCAAGGAGAATGTGAATTCTCATGATTATCTGTGTGCCTTCAGGCAAATCTCGTAAGTAATCTGGGCCTTGGTTTCCTTACCTATGAAATGACTAGGTTGGCCTAGAATCTCATTTCTAACTCATCTCTCATTTCCCAGCTCTGTTTTATGAGTCTAGGATCCTGGCTTCATGTTGTCCCATCTCAACGGTCCAGATATCAAGTTGAAATACATCCAAGGTAGAAAATTCTCTTGAGACGTATATTCTACCGACCTTAAGCTTTAGCGGGATACTCTAAATTTGTTGAGTGAAGACATGAATGAATGTCTGTATACCCTAAGAATTCTTTGCTAACAAATTCTGAATACTAAGCTATAATATTTGTCTCTGCGTGACTCTGCTGAGGACACTGACCCTTCAGTATTAAGACTGAAAGGGAGGGCTTACCTCTGCTGCCCTGGATCTCCCCTTCAGTGAAGACATCCTCATCTTCAAAGCATCTCTTATCTGAAGAAACAATGACAGTGAAGAAATGACAACATCCCTCAAACCCAGACCCATGCCTTGAAACTTCGAGACCACTAATCCTGGCAGAAGCAGCATCAGATGGCTTAGCATAGTGCTTAGCCAATAATGAGACTTGGATAAAAGTTGAGGTGTAGTTATAATCCCATTTAGGATTAAAATTAAAATTCTGGCTATTATAATTAGATTTGGGATTAAAATTAAAATTAAAATTCCGGTACGGTTTTCATTCTTTTAAATACACTCACACACAGCCTCCTGTTGACTTAAGTCAACAAATGAGAGAGTAGAGTTCTTTCCTTTCCTCCTCTCAGCTGATGCCTGAAGCACCCCCATAAACTCACCCCCATGGACCAGGCTTTCTGATCAAAACTGCCTCATCCCCCGGCTACCCTGAGCCACATGGAAATTTTTACAATGAGAGAAACAAATTCAAATTACCTTGTGGTCCATAATGGTTCCAAACAGCAAGATGAAGAACCCCTATGGCAAAATTCAACAGAAGTATGAGGGATGGTTTGGCAGACAACATCCCAATTGTAATTTTAATACCACTCTTCTAGATATCTTCCAGGACAGTTATTGGGTATTAGAAACTTCAGCTTCTACTGATTCAGAGAAAATGCATTGGTAAGTATTTTCTGTGACTGTACCTCAAAGAGGGTCACCTTCATTTTTGTGTGACAGTTACTGATATTTATTGAAAGGCTGCAGATGTAGGATGGTGTTTCTCCACCTTATCACATCTGTTTACTTTCTTTCCAAATATTAAGTAGTTGTTCTTATTCATCATGACATAACATGACATGGAATCCTGTAGCTCAAAGTGACAATCATGGAAGGTTTCTTGAGAAGTGAAGCCTGTTATTATAGTTTACTTTCAGTTGGGGTTAAAAGTCACGAAACGGCAGGGTCTCTGAGCTGGTGGAATAAGTTTATGCATAAAAGAGAGAAAACTACAGAGATCTAAAAGACCAGAGTCTCTTCAAGTTTAAATTATTTGTTTACCTATAAAGTCACAATAATTGATAGCCAATCTTTTTAAATGGTGGAAGTTGAAGTTAAGAAAATTCTGGATCTTGCCATGAGAGTGGAAGGAAGGCTGGGTTTCCAAGGATAGTCTCATGGCAGAGAAATGCTAATCAGAAGACGGAAATTTTTTAAATGTGAGTCACAGGGAAAGCTTGCTGAGAAAAGTTGGAGTGTATTTAACTAAAAGTGTTTCAGTATTTTTCTTTCTATCAAGAAAAGAGAGAAAGAAGTGATTCGGAAAAGAAACAGAATAAAACTTTCTGGGGTTTAATTAAGTTGCAAAGTAAAAAATTAAAAAAAATAGAATGAGATCATTAGTCACCAAAGTAACTTCAAGAGTCGGGGAGATTTATGTCAGTCCAAGAGCTTTTGATCAAAAAAAAAACAAAAACAAAAATAAAAAACCACCACCAACAACCATAAGTTAAATGCTTCTCTTTAAAGCCATGCAAGGCAAAGCGTGAAATAAATGTTCTCCATAGTTATTAAAGAAGTATGAGTAAGATATATAATTGATCTGAGCTGACATTTCTTAAAAGTCTGCTTTGTATTTTGTACCATGTTTTTAAATAGAGTAATAGTGACACGTTAATAGGAATACATTGCTGCTTTACTAAGCAGTTATATTTATATATTTAAAGCAGTGGTTGGGAATTTGTGTGTGTGTGTGTGTGTGTGTGAAGAACCAGATAATAAATATTTTTGGCTTTGTGGGCTACACAGTTTCTGTTAGAACTGCTCAACTTTGCCATCGTAGCTCAAAAGCAACCACAGGCAAAATGTAAACGAACGTGTATGGCTTTATTCCAGGAAACCTATTTACAAAAACAAGCAGCAGGCTGGAGTTTGCCAACCCCTGATTAAAAGCACAATTAAGGATATGAACCTGCCAAACTTGCTATTACTCATAGGTATGGAAAGCAGTCTGGCTAGTGACAGCTTCCCAAAAGTACAAGTTCAGTAGCCAACATAGAGTAAAGCAACTATTAGAGGGATAATTTTGCCAAACCAAGTATGGTAGAGCAAGAAAAGAAAAGAAAGAAGAGAAGAGAAGAGAAGAGAAAAGAAAAGAGATGATCTCAGATTCGTATCTTTATCTTACTAAGGAGATGGGTGAGGCCCAGAGAAAAGTGACATTTCTAGGGTCAGGCAACATGCAGCAAGATCCATTTCAATGAAGAACAACCTAGATTTATTTCACAGGAAAGAGCCATGAGAACTCCCAACTGGTTAACACTCAAAGAGAATGGCAGGTCCTGTCTCGTCATACTATGGAAAATGACTATTTCACTGAGTTCCCAACTGCTTGAGAAAGGATAAAAACTTCTTTGTTTTGAGGCATACCATGTGAGTGTAGACTCACACATCTTTGACCAAAGACTGGTTCTCTATAAGTGAAGGCCAACTTCTTCTGACCCTGAAACTTCAGGAGGGATACAGGTGGATCGGTTGAGGACAGAAGGAAAGAGGTTCCCACCCAGTCAGCCTGATCAGCTAAATCCAACTGGACAATCAATAGGGTGAGAGACGCCACAGCTCAATGTCTCTAAGACATGGAAAGAAATGAAAGGCACATTTTGTATTCTGTATTTTTCAATCGTAGCCTTTTTTTTTTTTTTGTCATATAGCCAGAATAGCGAATGATAAAATAAAAGTAACATCTTATAAATAAAATACTAATTAACAATATTAATGAATAAAATAAGTCTCTCTCTCTTGGTACTTACCTGGAAAGCATTGAGAAGGGCAAAGATTATATGGACTATCAAGGAAGTGCCTTCTAGAAGTGTAGCTACTCCAAAACCCCAGGTCAGTCCCAGCAATGGGGTGAGGATGGCAACATTTTTGCTGATCCTCATAATTATGGCCAGATCCTGAGACTTGGAACTGCCAATAGAGGGCCTCTGAGTATTGACAGCAACAACCAAAACCACCACAAGATTCACGGCCACAATGACTAAGGCTGGGACGGCAAATGCTAAAAGGGCTTTGGTACTGTCCCAGCTAAGCCAACAGGCATCGGGTCTCATGTAGCCCTTCTCTGGCACCGTGACAGCAACTGTAGTACCTGCAATGACCAATGGGCACCCATAGCCAACGGCAAAGCCAATGGCCATCATGCGGGATTTCATCATCCTACGGAAAACAACCAATATTCCATAGATGATGAGCAGTGCTTGGAAGAACATCCAGAAGAACAGAGAGAGGTAGAAGAAGTGGCTGAAAAATGTCAGCGCAACACACCAGTTGGAGTCCTGGGCCTTTTTGTGAAAGTTAGAGTTTACAATGAACCACACATTAGCAATCAGGAGCGACACGGCTATGTTCACGATGCACACGTGACGTAGGTATGATACCTCCGTCACAACCACCCGGGACCACACTGCGGCTTCGACGATCAGGCAGAGAATCAAGCTAAAGATAGAGATGCTGAGCCCAATGCAGGTGATGTAGTCCAGGACTTTGTTGTCTATAGATTTGGGGGACATTAGAATGGAAAAGGACATCACCATGTTGGTGTAGTTACACAAGCATTTCACTCTGTTCACGATCTCCAACGTGGTTTCACAGGCATTCTCATCCCACCTCCTTTTCCTCGAGTGCCAGCCAACACACTGTGCCCTGGCACTGCGGGATTTGTTGATCTTCTCGAAGGTGAGTAAGACTTGCTTCAGTCCTTCTGGTAAAATCACCGAAAGGACGAGACCATTTACAGGTCTAGGAAGACTCACATTTTGCAAGCGGACTTCCCTCAGTATGGTCCCCAAGGTGGGAAAGGCTATGCTGATGGCTTGGGATGCATTTGGTGGCAGGTTCCACGGCTCTTGCGTGGGAATTTCTATCATTCCTAAGATACCCTCTGCTGTACCGTTCATGCTTGCGGAGAAATTGAACTTCTCCTCTGAGGTATTGTGGGTGATGCGAAGCCCTTTTGCCTGGATGAAGAGTTCATCCACAAGGTTCTCAGAGTCATTGTGGAGGCGGAGTTGCCTCGCGAACAGATTCACTGACTGCAACAAATCCGAGCTGGTATTTTTGTCTGGGATGAAAGCCCAATTTGAAATGGCTGCTGTGTGAAGGATGTGGTTGGCCACTTCACTATAACTCTGCAAGGGAGGAAAAGTGGAAATTATGCTAAGGATTTACACGTTATTGTAGAAAGTCCATTTCTAAAGATCAAGTGATCAGATCTTATTTGACATATTGCTCTTCAAATTCATTGTTTATTAGAATCTCATGCTGAGAGATGAGTCCTTCAGAGAGGGAAGTAAAGTAAAACAATGATTAAAATAAAATAAAAATCATGGGCGCCTGGGTGGCTCAGTTGGTTAAGCGACTGCCTTCGGCTCAGGTCATGATCCTGGAGTCCCAGGATCGAGTCCCGCATCGGGCTCCCTGCTCAGCAAGGAGCCTGCTTCTCCCTCTGACCCTCCCCCCTCTCATGTGCTCTCTCTCATTCTCTCTCAAATAAATAAATAAAAAATCTTTAAAAATAAATAAATAAATAAATAAATAAATAAATAAATAAATAAAATAAAATAAAAATCATAGGTAAAGTTTACCTGCTTTATTATGGGCCCCGGGGCAGCATTTCCAAACTGCAGTCTTTATAACCCAAGAGTCTCATGAGATATTAATGATTGTTTAATGGAGGGAATTTGGGGTAGATTCTATAAAAACCTAAATTTGAGAAATACTGCATACTGTATCTCTATAACCCCCCCTTTTATAAAGAGGGTCAAACCTCATTAACACGTGAAAAACTTTAAAAAGTCCTGCCAGAAGGAAACCTGCTTAACTTTGTTTAACCCAGAATTCCTACCTCTGCTAGGTACAGATCTCCCTTTTAGAAACGGAGCCTCCATTAACATTTCTCCAAATAATTATGTTCTACAGAATGAAATTTGGGCAAGACCGGAGTAGACACAGTCTTGCTCACAGCCATCCTTTTGGGACATTTTCTTGAAAATAGTAAGTCTGTACAAAAACATGTATTAAAAATGTGCCAGCTTCTTGAAAACTTACATAAACTAGAGTGAATCAATATGCAAAATTGAAATAAAATGTCTATCCTTGTTGTTACGGTTGCTGTGGCTGTCATATTTTGGACCCTGAAAAGTACATTTGAAACTGTTAAAAGGCAAGATTTGGTTTAAAAAAAAGAAGAAATCTGTCAGTTTTTTTAACGAAATTATCAAAAAATACCTTCATTTTATCTTGGGTAACATTATCAGACAAATCTGTAGAAATATTTCTTAGTAACTCCACTATAAATGCGATGTTTCCAGACGTGGCTTCTGATGATTTCACAACATCGAGTATGCAGGCATAATCAATTGGACAGTTCCTGCGGATTCCTTGAGCTACACTCTCCACGGGCTCTGGTGCTCGAAAGTCAAGAACGTGCACGGGTATGGATGATGCTGCTAGAGGAAGGTGTGATGCACTATTGAAGTCCTGCTTTAAAAAAAAAAAAAAAATCGCTCAAAAATGATTAAGTACCTAACATATGTCAGAGTAAAGGAGCTAAGGCACCAATACACCACGTGGGGAAAAGAGAGAAGCAAGTAGTCCTAAAAGGGGTTTAGATGCCAAGAAAGACGGAAAGAGTAAGATGGGGAGTCACACACAAATGAGAAGTTCCATCAAAATTCCCACGAGATCAGGATACTGACCTATTGCTTTCAGGATAGTGGTTTTAACTCAAGTGTGATAACAAGACAGTTTTCTCCAGAGATGTGGAAAAATGCTAAAATCAAAATCTGTCTACTTATTTTAATTTTTTGAAAGGGGAGTCTCATGGAATTTGTGTGGGGGGGGTGGATTTGGAGGATGGCAGGATAAAGAATACTAAATTGCAATTTCAAGAAGTTTAGAGTTCACTAATTAGACGAAGGTACACACAAATCCATCTTTAGAGCTCAAACTTTAACCTCTAAGCATTTACCATTGTGTGAATGAGTTTCAGATCTATTTTTAAGAAAAGATGTTGAGAGGGAGAGAGAGTGGCGGGGGGGCGGAGAGTGTCTGAGAATTTGGGTAAGGAAGGAAGGAGAAAAGACAAATTTCACCCATTCTGCCATTTTCCCAAATCTAGATCTGAGATTGTTGTGCCGAACAGAACACAGGAAAATGCCTCTACCATCTCCTGGGAAATTAGCCCTGGAAGCCAATAATATGCAAATGTGTCACCTTAAAGAGTGTCTCCACAGAAAGGCTTGTACATGTTTCAGTTGATTTTTGCCACTTGTTTTGATGACATGTAAACCCTATTTCTCCATGAAAGGGCTGAGCACAGGGCTGGCTGCAGTTGGAAGCAGGGATGCAAGGTCCTCGGCATTTCTCTGAAAAGGAAAAGAGAGACGAGGGGGCCTAATTAGCGTTGCTGCACTCTGCTGAGGCAGCTGACTCATTCTAGGGATTTGGGAATTGCTTGCTTCCCAGAGGAGGTGACACTGAGCAGTGTCCTCAGCACCAAGTAAGGCGTGCCAGGCAGACTGCGGCGCTGATGTGGAGGCAGAGTGAACTGCACATGGAGAGGAGAGGTTGCAGGTCAGACAGAAAGGCTATTTAGAGCATCTGAGGGGAGTGCGGAAAGAGATGAGGATGGGAGAAAAGCAGGAGTCAAGACATGAAGGACTTTGAATTCTGTGCGAATATGGGGGTTACCAGAAAACATGATTGGATTTTTGAAAGATAATTAACAACAGCATAGAGCAGAAAGCAGTAAAATTTTCTATAAAGGCCCAGATAGAGTTGCCAGATAAAATAAAGAAAGCCCAGTTAAATACTAATTTTATTTTCAGACACAGTCGATTCTCATTATTTGCAGTAGTTATGGTCTATGGAGTTGCTTCCACAAACACTGAATGAGGGGAAATCAAGGCAGGTTCTTACGAGCTTCTTCTCACATTTTTATCAACTGATTAATATATGAGCTCATTTTACGTGTGTTTCTATTTAAAGACACTTTATTTATGTTGTTGATTCATTAACATTGAACTTATGGCCAATAGCACCGTAACTCATAACAGCACATGAACAAAGCTTATCCAACATGTGAATTTTCTCCTTGAGACACATCACAGTCTCCTTAGGAACACCAGACAGCACTTCAGAACTACACTGAGGGCCATTTTAAACAGCAAAATCACAAACAAAAGCACAAAATGCAAAAAGTATGGTATTAGTAATGCCACAAAAAGAACACTTGTTTATAGTAGGACTACTGAAACAAGAAGGCAGAGAGCCACCTTGTTTGGCTGGGAACTTGCACCTTAGCTAACTCAATTTTTCTTCTGTCTGTGAATGATCCAGAAAGCACTGTGAGTAGTGATTTAGGGGTTACAAATAAGTTTCAATGAACAGGAGAATTTACAAATACAAAATCCATGAATAACAGGGATCAACTGAAAATATTCAGTTAAACAATGAATAAGTTTCTAGTGTTCATATGATCCATGCAATATCATCCATGGTTTATCTGATATTTAAGTTTAATGAGGCATTGCATATTTTTATTTGCTAAATATGACCACTCTAGCCAGAGTATAAATATTTTCAGCGTTGTAGGCCATGTGGTCTTTATCAAAACTACTTAGCTCTGCCTTTGTGACATAAGACAATCAAAGACAATATGTAAATAAATGGGCATGACTCTGTTCCAATAAAACTTTATTTCTAAAACCTGGTGGCAGGCCTAATTTGGCCCATGAGTAGAATGGATTGACTTGAGGTAAAGAGCCCAAGAATGAAGTTGTTGAAGGATTCCCAGGAAGAACTGCCTTAGGATAGTGGTAATGGAATGAAAAGAAGTGGGTCCTAATGGAAGCTAGTAAGGTGTTGAAATCAATAAGATGTGGTGACTAATTGTCTGTAAGTCAAAGTAGGCATCTATGTTTATGGCTTGGACAGCTCTGAGGATGACTCCATTCATGGAGAAAGGAAACGAGTAAGTTTGCATTTTTCTTTACCACCTGCCCACTGTCCCTGGTTTTGCAAGTTATTTAAGCTCAGTGCTTCTCAATTTCTTCATCCATACAGTTTGGAGGTGATGCCATAGTCTTGTTACAAACATTGAGGGAGCATCCTGTTAAGCACTTCAATCGGTGTTGCTATAAATGCTCACTGAAGGTTAGCCATCTCTCTCCCTCTTTTCTCAATTCCTCATCTATGTAGAGATGTATCTGTTGCTAAAAAATATATTTGGCAATGTCTGTGCAGAATCCAGTGATCTCTACTATTTGGGTAAGAACCATGTGATTTCACTATCTTACTAGTAATGATTATCTCCATAGTTTATCTCTGAGTTTTTGAGAGTAACCCATCTCACCAACACAATACTTATCTTACATCACTTCAATAGACTTCTCAGCACCAGAGTGTTATGTACATTTAAGCGTTCTGAAAATATCTTCACATGAAGGAATGAATTCTTCCGTGTTCCCTCTTGTCTCTTGTTAGCTCATTAGTTCAAACAGATTTCCCTTTGGGGGCTTAAAGTGACCACTTGTCTTCTGCTCTAGAATGCATGTGCATAATTTGCCAACTTGGGTCATTGTCTATGCCATGGATAATGGTATAGTTGTAAGAGAGTCTATCAATACTGGTAAACAATGAGAACTTGTTAGAGACTGTTATTCCAATTGAAAGCTTGCGGTCTGGGGACGTGCTTGGCAATATCCATGCCCTTCATTTACTCTGCCCATGCTCCATATGGAAGAAGACTGTTCTTAGACACGTACCTTGTATCCTTCCAGTCTTGAGTTTCCCTTCAAGATGTTGAAGTTTATCTCCATCCTGTAAAACATAAATTCCCAAAGGTCCTCTTTACTGTGGGACTCTCCTCTCTTATCTCAACGTAGAGGCTCCATGTGGAGATGAAGAGAAAATGTGTTGAGGACTCAGAAGAAAACTGCACCAGGTCCATGTGTGATGTCACGGGAATTTGCAGACAGAAGCATTGAGGTGAGCATAGACAGAGAAAAAACTCTCCTCTGGGGAGGGCTAGAACCTTGCCAGTGGTCAGTTGGCCCCTGAGGGTCAAGTTAGTGGATTGGGTACATATGGAAAGCTTAAGTACCCAGGGAGAAAAGAGATGTAACAGTTATAATGCTAAGCTGGTCTCCTTCTGTTTTAACTGTGACTGTGAAATGGAGCTAATATGATCCACCAGATACCACAGATCCCCAGAGAGGAAGAAATGAGCAGACGCTAGGAATAATCATTAGGTGAATAGAATAGAATAGAATAGAATAGAATAGAATAGAATAGAATAGAATAGAATAGAATAGAATCACACTCTTTTGTAGCTATAAAGGGCTATAAAATATCTAAAAGAAAAAAAAACACCCTTTATGTTATAGATAAGGAAATTAAAACTCAAAGAAGCAAAACAACTTGCACAACTAAGGAGAAGCAAAGGTAAGGTCTAGAGCTGAAATGCTACCTGCCAGGTTGGTATTCCTCCTCCCAACAGCTGCCTGTCTACATTCTCCGTGGCTTGCAAAGTGATTTTTCTACTGTACTGTTACACTCTGTTGCACCCTGAAAATATACTGCTGCAGGGCCCAGCCACCTCTCAACTTTCCCTTTAAAAAATATATCAGCAGGAGTAAAATTGTAGTCATTTGAAATTTTATTAAAGATTATGTTATTTATCATAAATTTAGCCATCTAGGAGAACTGACAGATTTCTTATGGGACCACCTGAGAATGGATCAAACTTACTTTTATGTGGATCTTGGATCTATAGTGAGAACATTCTATGGCCAGAAATAACATTAAACAGCAAATCATGGTTGCCTGGGACTTCATTTTCACACATTAGGATCTTCACCTGCAATACAGAATGAAAGTGGATCCAGCTGGAGGTGATAAGGCCAGACAACACAAAACTTAGCCAACTAACCAACCCCTTGGTGACCCTACTGGGAAGTTGTCCCAACCAAAACCTCCTGCTCCAGGAAAGGACCCCAATATCTACTTTCAGGCCAGCTAACATGTAAAAAAAGGGGAAGACTTTCTCTCAACTGTTAACTTGTCTACAAACAATAGACAGGAATGAGGGATGCACTAGGAAAGATATATGTTCACCAAGGAGTCATTTCTGATTATTTGATCCACAATTTTCTTTAATAGTAACATTTACCAAGAACTTTTATTTGCAAATCACTGTTCTGAGCACTTTCTTTGCACTAACTCATTTAATCAGATGGCATAAGACAGTATTACCATCTTCATTTTATCAGTGGAGAAGCTAAGGTACAAAGTGTGGAGCAACTATGAGTCAAGGTCACTCATAAAAAGTGGTGGAGCCAGATGATGCAGCTGGAAAGCCACGTTCTAGAACGGGACCTCTCAGCAATGGTACTATTGACATTTGGGGCTGGATAGTTCTTTGTTGTCGGAAGCTGTCCTGTAAATTGTAGGATGTGCAGTAGCATCTCTGTCCTCAACCCAGTAGATGCCAGGAACAGCCTCCTCCCCAGCTGTGACAGCCAAAAATGTCTCCAGACATTGCCAAGTGTGCCCTGGGAGAGAAAATTGCTCCCAGTTGAGAACTACAAAGGGGCAAAGGGGGTCAAGTAACTTAAAATGAAATGAATATACACTACTGTCTGTTACTGGAGCAAGCACTGAGACTCTCTCTTATAGATGGATCAACTATTATACAGAGAAACTAGAAGCATGAGAAGGTAACTATTCTTTGGCCATGTCTCTGTTTCTTGCCTTTTTCTTTCTTTAATATATAACTGACATGTAACATTATATTAGTTGCAAGTATACAACATAATGATTTGATATTTGTATTTTTGTAAAATGATCAGTAAGTCTAGGTAACATCTGTCACCACACATAGTTACAATTATTTTTCTTTTGATAAAGCCTTTTTTCTTGATAGTTCCACCTTTCAAAGACAAATCTCCAAGAAAGCATCTTTACAACAGTTGAAATTCATCAACATCATCATGATCATCACCACCATACTTTTCTTACAGGATAGTGGAAACTAAGACCATTTATTGGAAACAAAGTTCCTTAGAACAATTTTCTGGTAGTACAGATGCAACAAAGTAAAAATATCATGAACTTTAGATTCAGCATGAGCTAAGTTGTTAATCATATTTATGCTATTGATGAACTATTTGACCTTTGTTGAGCCTATTTTCTTTCTCATCCATCTCATAAAATGTGGGATGATTATACATTCTACCAACCACCCTTTATCAAGTGCCTCCTATTTGCCAGGAACTGTGCCAGATGCTGGGGGTAGGGAAATAAAGGGTGCTGTCATTTCCATAAAGGATGTCCAGTGAGGAATGCAGACAAGTCAAACCAATAGTGAGAAGAGAGATCATCTACATACTGCAGCTAGTGAATAAGGCCAAGCAGAAACTGAGCCTCAGCAAACATAAATTCCTTTATGCTCTAATGGAGACAAACTAACTCTGATCCATCTAGGCTCACCAGGCAATCTGTGGCCAGGGAGCAAAGAAAACTCACTGATCAGGGATCAGACCTTTCCTGGGTGGAGTCAAGACTAGGATGGACTTTCATGACTCCAGTGAGCCTTCACATGAGAGGATGAATCACAGGCACTTACAGGAAGGCTTCCAAATTGTCTTTGAGCTTAAAATTCTTTGAGTTCCTAACCAATGAACAGGGGGGAAGTATTTTGACTTATACTATCTTCTTATAGAGCAAGTCTGAGCAAGGGAAAGAAAACATGGCAGAATGACAGGCAAAGTGTGGTAATGGATTTGCATAGTTGCTGGGATATGTGTGTGGAATTCAAGATCTTACTTGAGTGGGTGGAAAGAAGTTCTCATGTATGCAGCAAATTGGTGGATGGGCACACTAAGCAATTTGCAATATTAATATTATTTAGGATAGATTTTTAACTGTCCTCACTAAAGGAAATACCAGAAGAACCAGTATAAGTTGTCTTAGATGTGTCTGTATGTTTCACATATACACCTGTGGCTTTCAAAAATTTTTTATCCTGACACAGTAATAAAACAGATCTTACGGGCGCCTGGGTGGCTCAGTTGGTTAAGCGACTGCCTTCAGCTCAGGTCATGATCCTGGAGTCCCGGGATCGAGTCCCGCATCGGGCTCCCTGCTCAGCAGGGAGTCTGCTTCTCCCTCTGACCCTCCTCCCTCTCATGCTCTCTGTCTCTCATTCTCTCTCTCGCAAATAAATAAAAAATTAAAAAAAAATTATAAAAACAGATCTTACATCATGACTCATTGTGTACAGACATATATATGTATGTACACAGATATCCATATACAAAACTGGAAAGTACATGATTTTTATATTTCAAAAGCTTTTACATATTACTTATCCTTCCCACCTATGAGCAAGACACTCTGCTGTGTTTGTGATTTTTATCTTGCATTCCGCTCTATCTGACATTCTTTTGGAAACTGGTTGCCACCCACTAAATTGAATCCACAACCCTCTAATGGATTGTAACCTGCAATTGGAGAAATAGAAATACAGACTGGAAGATTCATTTTCATTATCAAGTTGAAAATCATTCACTTCTCCCACTGAAGTGGTCCTTTTGGTCCTTTCTCTGTACTATTTTTCACAATTCTATCAAAATCTTCTTCCCAAGGTACATGCATCAGTGAAAAAAGATATTTACATTCAGAGCCAAATAATAGGACTAATGCTAAGGGTAAATGCAATTCTCTTCCACCTAGAGAGCAATAGTTTGAAATGTACAATGAAAATGGGTGAAGACGAGCCAACAGGAGGCCACTTATAAGTAATAATGCCTGCTATCTAAGGCTTCAGAAGGAAGCTTTCTACTGTCCACAGTTTTCAATATAAGAACTTCACTTAATCTTGCTGGAAGAAAGTCAGGCATTTGGTACAATGATGTGATGTGATGTGATGTGATGTGATGTGATGTGATGTGATGTGATTTAGGAAGCCCAAAACTGTTTTCCTGAGCAGTGCTAGGGCCTCTGTAAGTCCACAGCTCCCGGAAGTGTTCGGGGACTAAAGGATCCAATAGTCATGGCATTTTCTGTAGATCATTATGCTCTTTATGGAACATGATGAAATAATGACACATTCATTTTTTTCCTAAGAAAAAATTTACTAGCCGATCATTTATATGTAGTATGAACTCATAAGCATGACCTCAAAAAACAAAAACTTTGAACTGAGTACAATTAGCTGTTTGGAGAGTTTTGGTTAATTAATTTGCTATTTCATCATTCCTGTTCTTATAGTCTGGTGCAAGGGAAAGGAAACATTTTGTATGATAATTATATGGTAAAGTTCCTTCAATTATTACAATTGGGAAGGAGGGGATGTTTAATAATGTTACCCAAGAGGAGGCATGGCATTCTTATTTTTGCTCAGAGGAGGATTGGCAGTGACGGGTCAGATGGAGAAATGTTTTCAAGGTATAGCTCCAAATGGGTTGTTTCTCTTCTCACCAGAAAGAGTAGAATGGAATCTGTCCCATCACAATATAGATGGCTGAAGCCACAAGCCAGAGTGTTCTGCAGAGCACACAATGAGCCAGAGCTTCAGAGCTCTGAAATGGGGAATTAAAAAATAAAAAGAAGTATATCCGGCATAATTCATAATCAGAGGCTGATATTTTATAGAACAGAATGGAAGAGACATACTTAGATTCACCGTTGATAAAGCCTTAATAATTAAAGTGAACTTTGAGTTTTGCATAACGCTGAATGAAAATTTTCTGCAAATATAAAGTATTTCTGGGCACCTGGGTAGCTCAATTGGTTAAGCGTCTGACTCTCCATTTCAGCTAAGGTCATGATCTCAGGGTTGTGAGACTGAGCCCCGCATTGGGCTCTACACTGGGCATGGAGCCAGCTTAAGATTCTCTCTCTCCCTCTCCCTTGCCACTCCATCTCTAAAAAAAAAAAAAAAAAAAAAAAAAATACTATATATATATAAATATAAATATTTAAAAAATAGAGAGAGAGAGTATTTCTCCAATATCCAGCACAGTGTCTGCATGTACTAAGTGACCTCTTGAAAGAATGAAGGAAAGAACAAGGACACAAAATCTAAATACATGCAACAAGACTGGATTGTGCCAAAGAACACTGGCAAAAACACAGACAGAACTGAAAGAGGCAGCTTTCAGATGTGAACCTAATCAAGGACAACTTGCCGGGCCCAGGGATCTACTGATTCCTAGTGAAGAGTGCTGGAGTCGAGGCCAGGTCCTCTCCCCCATGGAGAATCCGGAGTTACTCTATGTCTAGTATGCTTAAATTACCTTTACCTTAAAATACCATTCACTAACTTCTGGCTTTGCAGTGTGTTCAGTTTAACAACGAAATTGCGTGTTTTCATAAAATCGCTACTTCTCAAAACCCCTGGGGTACAGTGGCAGAAAAACGCTTTGTTGGGAAGAACTGTCCCTGGCTATTTAAATCAAGATCCTAGTACCTGGTAGGGGGAACATAAAAACAGTAAGCAGTAATCCTGACAGAATAGTGCTGCAACAATGGGTACGTATGCCTAAGGTTGACACATATTACCCGCCACTTATTTGCCAAGTTTGTAGCAGGCACCAAAGTTGAATTTTAAATGAATGGAAGAGAAACTTGACCCTGGGGACATGTGTATACACTGACTTAAATGTTCTGTGATTTCAGGAAATCTGCCTGTTTTATTTAGTAAGGCAAACAATACAGAGTTTGGTGTCAATTGCAGTTGGCCAAGATATTGTGTCCTAAAGTGGGTTTCTGTGGAACACTGGTCTCATGAAAGACTAAGGGGTTCCACGGTCAGA